GCTGAACAAGAGTGCGCTGAGCTTGAGCAAGCTCTTGAAATTTTTGCGCAGCGAGCAGTTGTTGATGCTGGATCAACGCCTGTTGGTTCAGCAGATTCTGTGCAGAAAAATGCTGTGATAGCAAATTTTGCTGCGTCAACAGGTGCTGATTTGATATCAAGCTGTTGGCTTGTGCTTGTGCTTGCGCCTGCGCTTGTGCTTGGAATTGTTGCAGCCAAGAACGGTTGTTGTATTTGAAGCGTGAGCAACTCCTGAAAAATGACCAAATCTGGAAAATTTCACACATCTGGAAAAAACAAAGTCTGCGGATATCTATACAGACAAAACGCACTCTTCTTTTTCGTTCGTCTTCCGCCTTCTTTTGCATAGATTCTCGCTGAAGACAAGCCTTGAGCTTTGTGAAACATTCATGTTTCTCTGCTGCTAACTCATCTCGACGCGCCTTTACTCGCTCCAGCTGTAAAAATGATAGGTATCTCAAATGTTCTAGAGAGTGCAAGACCGGGATTACGTTGGCCACCGTTCACTACTACATATCAGATTAGGAGAACAATTTTTCTAATCTTGTTGATTCAAATATTGAGGCGTGTGCAGTAGTTGTCCCGTTCAATTCCCACACATGGAAAATATGATGAGATATCATGAACATCTGGCAAGTGTTTTGACAAGTTATTTACAAGCAAACATAAGAAAAAAACCACTCCGCTGTACGTGATGGGTACAGCGCTTATTACTGTCGGCTGCCACCTGGAATCAAGGTCACCGTCCTTCGCACTATTCTTGAGCAAGATCAAGCGTTATGGAAAAAGTATGAACGGGGTCGTATTTGCCTAACTCGAAGAAGTCGTGTTTGAAAAGGGGTCGTGTTTTCGGGGAGTCCGACGATTTTGAAGAGAAGTTTATGAAACAGGTAAAAGTTCGACGATTTCCCGCTTCATACACAAATTTGGGGGGGGGAGGGGGGAGGAGAAGCGCTGAATCGTTGGACGCGACGGCTCACCTTGCCTAGGATCAAATCTTTTTAGTTGGACAAAAGACGGTCCACATCTTGCAGAGCGGAGCCGCGGGCTTTTCAAAAACTGTCGGCTCTCATAAGCATGCAGTCCTCTACATCGCCTATTGCAATGATGTTCCTTAATACTCCATGGAGAAAAAATAACTGGCCTAATCAAAAACAATGACAGAACAAGTAGGATTTGAGTTCAAGACAACTTACTCCCTTAACGAGAAGAAAAACTACTCGAGTTCACAAGAATGCTGGGTTGTGAACAAAACTTTCGCCCCAGGCGGGACTAGAACCCGCACCTCTCGCTTTCCGGGCAAGTGCGCTACCAGTTACGCTACCGGGGCACCATTTCATTCCAACTCAGCTTTTCATGGTATACGTACCATAGCTTGTCAGCACTCACACGTATAACGTGTTGAGCCGGTTAGCCGATATCGGCAATGACCGCGAGGCTGAAAGCTTTAGCAATGAATTTTGACTTGTTTTGTTTGGCATGACTCGCTGGGCCGACTGCTGAGCAGTGGATTTTAATTGTTTTCGTTTGTTAACTGGTGTTTTTGGCAGCAGTTCGGCCTTGGCGAACATGTGTTCAAACCCGGCTATTGTGGCATTCGCAAGACGTAACTGCGCCAAAACAGCACTTTAAAAACAAACAGTCATCCAAGCATTAGGAATAGAGAAATTCGTTGAACGGCTAGTCGATTAAGGGAATTATGCTCAGTTTCATCAAAAGCCCCAGAATGGAGGGTAAGTATTATGTACGCGCTCTAGCAGGGAACACAGAGAGTCAGAATCATTCAATATTTCAAGGCAACGTCCTTCTGATGTGCAGGCGTTCCAGTGCCTCACTCAACTCGCTCGCGCTTTGTTGGCGTCTCCTCGTTCCGTTCTTACACTGCTCGTCGTTGAGCTTTCCTGTATCAAAAGGGATCGCAGATCTTACAGGTAAGATTTTCCTTTGGAAAGGGTGTATACATTACAAAAGTAATCCGGTTACAATAAGTACTACGATCTTAGTTCGGGAAGCAGTACGCTTTGTCTGGAATGATGTATACGGACCCGGGGATCGCACTGGTTTCATCCAAACCGGACACATGCCCCGTTGTGTACGATTATTTTGGGCCGGCGGCCGGGCGGATGATCAGTGCACTGAAAAATTTTTTTCTTTCGTGCTTCTGTTACATATCCACAACACCTCGATGAAAAAAAGCAAAACACACAGAAACGCAAAAAGGGTTGAAATTGTAAACCCATAGGCTATCAAGCGCATGGCTTGCATGATGTGATGACACAGAGGAAGCTTTATTCGGTCGACCAGTCAGAATATCAATGAGACCAAAACGAGCCAGCCTGCAATTGAAAGGCTTGATCTGGTGCGATATTGACTGTTTAGAGAAGGTAACAAGATTCATACAATTGTGAACACTGGCTCCTCTATTTGACCTTGCTACCAAAAGCGGTTGAGCTGACCGCGTAAAAAATGAGAAGGATATGTAAGGCCGCTGGAAAACTGTGAACTACTAATATTGCATATTACCTTAAGCGAAAAAATAAAGAATTTAGAGTACCCATTATTAGACGGCAATATCGAGAGTTAAGGGTTCAGTAAATCGGCGCCTTGCGGAAATTGCCCCTCAGGAGTCCTGTACAGTCGTTCCGGTTATGTGGTGTCGCTCCGAGTGGGTGCAGACCCGTGGATGTTGCCGCCGATTCTCGACCTTCCTTTTGTCCATTACGCACCGTACCAGCCGTTGCTATCCAAAGAATACGACTTGGATTCGCTAATAGTTCCGCGCATAGGTGCTGCAACTTTCACTACCAAGTTCTAAATGAAAGTACTGCGGCTTTAAAAGAGTTCTTAGAAGAACATGAACGAAATATGCACAACCATATGCACACTATACATATATCCTGGTGTAAAGCAATGTAATAGTTCACGGTTCCAGCTCGAATCCCTCAGTGGCAAATATAGCTTTATGCCAAAGATCTGGTATTTTTCCACATTCGTTGAGAATGTAACCACGTTTCTCTGAAAATCGTTCAGGCTTCTTCATAACAGATAATGATGAGAAAAAAAAGAAGCGAAAAGTAGGAAGATTACTTTGAGTGTTTTGATGGATTCTGTTCAAGGCGATGGTAATCGGATTGCTTTGCGATACGGTTCATTATTCTCGATCGGAGAGAAGAGCCACTGGTACCGGCATCTACGGCGAAGTATAAGTCATGTGTGCTTCAGTTTTGTGCACCAGCCGAACGATATCGGGTAGAGGGAGACGACTGGGATAGATAATTCTGATTTCAGTCTTGGAGTGTCACGTGTCAATATACGTAATATAGTCGTGGTAAAATTCCTGAAGGATAGGAGTTAGAGGTGTTGCACACCCTTCTACCACTCGATGTTAACGCTCGTGTATCCACCTCTCACAAAAAAAAACTCAGGCTTGTAAAAATTCCGAGTCCTCTCGTCTTGAAACCTCGGCATTTTCGTTGATGTTGTAGTTATTTAACTTCTGCCTTGAGGTTGTTAGGTGGTAAATTTTTATTCTGGCCAACGTTTCTTCGACGGACTCGACTAGAGCGGAGGAGGCGTTTGGTGGGATAGTGTGCAATTCGTAAGCTTTGAGCCATTTTCAGGCCTTTGAAAACGACGAGTCCGTCGAAGCTTTGGCCAGAACAAAAAACCACATGACAACCTGGAGGCAGAAAAACAACTACAACTCAGGCTTGTGTTGCGGAGGCCTCTCTAAACTAATAATGACTCTCAAAAAATTTTTATCGGTCGTTCTAGCACCCCAACTCTCCTCTAATTGGCGACTGTGGTGCAATGACGCTTAGAGCTTTTCCAGATTTCACACGTTCTTCGATAGGGGTACGTCTAGATAGCTTCGCCAACGAGTCGTTGGCAACGGGTAAATGGTAGTGATGTTTTCCTAATCCATGATTCATAGAAAGCTGGAGCTGCATGCAATAATGACGCTCAAACAATACACCCTTTATGAAAGCGTAATCAATGGCGTGTCATCTGAAGAAGGAGCTAAACAAACCATGTCTTCTCTTCAGGTCTCCCTAGAGATTAAAACGCAAACAAGAGTGGTGAAGGAAGAACGTGCGAGATTAATACTGCAGCAGACTGATTAAAACGCAAACAAGAGTGGTGAAGGAAGAACGTGCGAGATTAATACTGCAGCAGACTGATGTTACAAAGAATCGGGGTAGCAGCGTTTTTGATAAACTTAATCAAATACTTACGACCAAAGTGCGAATAAAACCGTCTGCGAAGCATTTTTCGCCTTCTTGGGCGACGACAATATTGGTATCGGTTATCATGACCATGCAAGCTGCAGCATCATCGTCATTCTAAACCAATTACCTACTGATATTATACCAAACAGCTTTTATGAAAGTCCACATACCAAGGTATTCAGCGCTTCATTTACGAGTTGCATCCACTTGTTCATCTCATCTTTACTTGGGCACTGCAACTGCAAGTTGCCCTCTGGCAATATTAACTCGAATCCCCACTGACAATCCTTCTTCGAGTCCAGTTCCAACATCTCCGTGCAATCACTAAATACTGTCTATAGCCTATGAAAAATACAGAAAGGTGTTTCGTTAGCCTACCTGAGGTTGATGACCATCTCTCCTTCTTTGCATGTAGAATCCGTGAATACATACATTTTTGAACCTCTAATAAACAAAAATGCTTCGCGATAAAAAAAAAAACAACACTAAACCAGGAAAAGCGGATGCACAACAATTGCTTACTTGAACACAAAATAGCTCTGAAACCATTCCGCAGGAGGTTTTCTCCACCAGTATGGACCATTCGAATTATATGCTTTCCTACAGATACCGTAACACGACGAATTTTCGTTACACACCTGACACAGCGTAAACATTCATAATTCCCTTTGAGGCTATGGGACTGCGCGATCATGCATGGCTCGCAACAGTGCACCCACCCATTTTCGCATTGTGCAAAGATCAAAGATCCCAGTTTTTTTTTTAATATGTATTCCAGATTACATATTGACTAAAATGAACGGCGTACTACACAGAACATTCCTATATGCTTTAGTTTCCAAGGAGTTTTGTAAGCTTTGTGAAATACTCAGTTCGATTCGTTCCGTAATTTCCTTTCATTTTAGCCGTAACCATGTGAATAAAAGCAGTGAAGGTAAACAAAAAAGTAGCATGGATGATAAGACATGTTTTTATTTACTAAAATATCCTGGGCAAAAACGCTTTGACGATTACCGCAGCGAAGGTCTAAATTGTTTTTTCCATCGAAAAATGATTATTTCATTGCACACGTACTTCTGATAAAAATACTTCTGTCAAGCCCCTGGACAACTTCTACGCATTGATCTCTTCCATAATTATTTTAAGCTATTTATATTTGGCATATTCAGCACTCCAAACGGGTGGATGAGATTGGGCAGCCGCACCCGTCGCACGCTTCCCAAAAGGCAAAAACACCGCTGTCGTCAAAGTGCTGACTGTACGCATGAAACAGACCTCCTATAGAGATAGCCTACGTTCTCCGCGTTCTGCTTATCCAAACATGCTGAAGACTCCTTCCAATACGCAAGTGCAAAATGTCGCAACTCAATGTGAGGCTAAAGTCATAAATGTGCATAATAAATGTGAATGCGAGATAAACCCACTTCAGAAACTCACTGTTCCATTGAGCTCCTTCGTCAAGTAACGCTTAATAATCAACGAATACGGTGTACTCTCAGTGAACACTGGAGGTGGCTCTTGATTTCCGCTCTCAACAGCCTTAACAATGCATGGCTACCTACGAAGTTTCAAAAAAAAAAACTGAAATGACTATATAAAACCAAACATTGTCGCAATTTCACGTACCGCCATAATGGTCTTAACGATAGCTTTCCCCAGCTGCAAATCTGCCGTTGCAATCGCACAAATCTTATCTTTACTTCCTTCTATTTCGGTTTTTGTGAGGAAAGGCATACCGCTCTTCGCATACAAGATGAGGACTTGAGAATCCGGCGACACCTAAAAATGTTCTCTTGTGTGCACAGTTTCTAGGTCAAAACACGAAAACTTATTAATACACCAACGGTTGCGTCAAAATACGGTCTAGATGCCATTTTTTAAAGGCAAGATTCGGGATAAAATAGGTGTTTAAAAGCGTTGGACGAGTTTCGCGAGCCTGACTCTAGTTGCTCCAGTGCCATTGACACAGGATCGCGGTGGGACCACTGCTGCCTCAAATGCGCCCGCGCTTTTCAAGCAGCGCCACGTGGCAACGGACAGCGGAGGGTGGGGCTTTGCGGGCAT